GCTGTTTTAGTATGAAGGTTGAAAATCATTATTTTTTTGACAAAATATTAATAAAATGGTCTTTCCACAAAATTTACACCCAATGTTTTAATTTATTAAAATTTATTAATAACTTTGATGAAAATATTTGATAATCTGATGAAAATATTTCAAATTTTATATAAAAGCAGCACATTGTACCCCATGACTGCATTAATGTACACAGCTATGATTTAATAAAAAAAGGGCTACTGAAGAAATTACCCATTGTAAAAATTATTATACAGTATAAAAAATTCTCACTGTAAATTTAACTATGTAAGAGAAATTTTCACTATAAAAAGGTAGAAAACACTGATAAAAATTTAAAATCACCAGTAATTGCATTAGATAAGTACTGACAAAAAGAATTTACATTTGATACATATCCATACTTTTATAATTCCAAATAACCAGCCCTTTCACAGGTACTAAACCCTTTCTTCTCCTCTAACACTTCTTTTAAGTATCTACCCTCCATGTGCCTATAAGGAAGCAGAACCTATTCACAGCTGTGGTAGGATCTCATAAATCTAAAACAACAATGGTAATCTCATCCTCTTGAAAATGTCTAGTTAGGAATATAAGCTTAAAACAATAAGCTTAGGGCAAGGAATCTCAATCTTGGCACTGTTTTGAATCAGGTAATTCTTTGAAGTGGGTAACTGTTCTACACCTTGCAGGATGTTTAGTAGTATCCCTGGCCTCTACACGCTAGATGCCAGTAGATCCCTTCCCCGCAGTGGTGATAACCAAAAATGTCCCCAGACATCACCAAATGTCATCTCTCTCCAACAGTTAGTTCCTTGGTGAGTATTACTGAGCCAGAAGAAGTACATGCCTCTCTTGGTCCAGTTAGATGGAAAAACAGACTGTCTAGCAGGGATAGCCACTCTCCTAACTTGCCATGGACAAGAAAGGAAGTTCTTGAGTTACTACTGGTCAGTATCATGTTACCACAGCCTTTGGAAGTTTACAAGGAGAGCAGAGCTGAAAGTATAAATAAGTGTTCATTCCTCAATATTAGGAAGATAAAAACAATTTGTGTTAGGCCATGACTGTATCATGCCTAGAGGCAGTTATATTTCTAGATCTACACTGGTCAATACAGTAACCATTAGCCATGTACTTAACTGTGGCTAGTCCAGATTGTGATGTGCTGTAAATATAGGACACATACCAGAATTTGAAGATTTAGTACAAAATAAGAATGTAAAATGTATTATTAATATTTTTTACATTGATTATATGTTACAATTATATTTTAGGTATATTAAAGTTATTAAAATTTATTTCATTTGGTTTTTTTTTTTTGCCATTTTACTATGGCTACTAGATAATTTAAAATTGCGTCTGTGGTTCAAGTCTGTGGCCTACATTATATTTCTATGGGACAAAGATGTTCTAGGCCCCCTGGTTTTTGAGATAATAGACTTTCTTACTGTTTAAACAACTATACCTTAGGTTTTGATTTTTTCCTACAGAAAGCATCCTACTTGATACAGGAACTGCTACACATCTTTAATTAACTTAATGTTTACCTTTAAAATATGTATTGATAAAGCAGTACATGTGCTTGCTTTTTTTAATGTTTGCTACTTCCTCACTCCTATAATTTTCTAACTCCAAAATATAAACATGACTTCTGCCATCTCTCAAAATTTCTTTTAACCTCCAAAGTATAAGCAACCCTTCAATGAACTTGAAAGTGCATTAAAGGGAATTTTCAAACATACAGGATTAGTAGTAGTCTGATTGCCATACTCCTTAATCATAGATACAAAGCCTTTGGAAAACTTGTTAAATTGTTAACACAGTGGGGAATTTATTGCTATCCCCAAATCTTTGGTTCACAGGTGCCACAGATATTCTATGGAACAACCACAGTAGTAATTCTTTCATAAATTTGGAGTTTATCACCAAAAGCTA